CCCAAACGAAGCCGAACTTCATACTCTATTGAACAAAAAAAGTTGTTATTAATTATGCAAAGGAATTTGAAAGAAATAATGCAGCAGCATATTTTAAGCTTAATGAAAGTATGGTTGGACGCTGGATTAGAGCAAGCAAAAAATGAACAGATAATATAAGCAGAAATAGCAAACGTGTTGGTTCTGGATGAAAGGCTTTTTTTCCCGAAGCTGAAAAAAAGCTTTATTATTGGATAATTGATCAAAGAAAAGTAAGTTTAGCTGTAACCTATGCTATCATCCGAGTCAAGATGTTAGAAATTATGAAAGAGCAAGATATTAAAGCTCTTTATGGTGATTTGACAAACAATTTTAGGATGTCAAATCATTGGTTATATGTATTTATGAAAAGGTGGAATCTTTCTTTAAGAAAACGCATAAAAATTGGATAAAATCTTCCAAAACAAACTGAGGAATTGTTAGAAAATTTCCATCAATTTGTTTTTCGCTTTAAGATTAAAAAATCCTATGAAATGTGTAATATCTTCAACATGGATGAGATGCCAGTATAGTTTGCCATAGCTGGTAATTTCACTGTTAATCAAACAGGTGAAAAAACAGTTCATATTCGTAGAACAGGCAATGATAAAAATGATTTTACTGTTATTCTCACTTGTGCTGCTGGTAAGAGTTATTGTATCTATAAGTTTTTCAAAAAATCAATTTTTTTTTAATTTTTTTACCATTTTTTTATATAGATGGAAGTAAACTGCTATTAATATGTATATTTAAAGGAAAAAGGTTGAATCGTGGTGAAAAATTCCTACTGGTGTAGAAGTTTAGTTCCAAGATAATGGATGGATGGATAAAAATCTAATGATAAAATATATCGATTATTTTAATAATAATTGATCTATGGCACCAACAATGCTTGTTTATGATTCCTTTCAAGGTCACTTAGAAAAATCCGTATAAGAAAAATTTTATAATAGTAATATTGATTTAGCAGTTATCCCTGGTGGCTTAACAAGCTTGATGTTGCCATTAATTAACTATTTAAGGATAACTTCTGTAAAGAATGACATTTATGGATGGTGGCTGGTAATGCTGAGGTGACTTCTGCAGGAAATCTTAGGCGTGCTAATTTAATGATGTTTGTAATTGGGTAAAACATTCTTAAAAAGGTATATCTGAGGAAATCATTATTAATTCTTGATTAAATTGTTCTATAACAGATTCTTTAGATAATTTATATGACAATCATGAAGAATTAGAAATTTCTGATATTGATGATGGTAGTTATGATAATATTCATAATAATGATTAATTAGGCAGGTTTTTATAATAATTTTGTAATAGTTAATAATAATTTTTAGTTAATTTTATATTAATTCAGCTTTATTTTCAAATAAATTTTATATTACAATAATAGAATAATAAATTTTTTTTTATTTTTACATTTTTTTTCGAGGGATGCTTATTTTCAGGTAATATTAAAAAATAGAGGTGCTTATTTTCAGGAGGTGCTTATTTTTGGAACTATATGGTACTTTATTAGATTACAATATTCGTTTGCTGTTAATCTTGCAATTGATTATAATCCAGTTTTAAAAATTTTAAATTTGTAAATCTTGGTATTTCGCTAATTTACAATCCATTTTATCTATTAAATGATTATCATATTGCAATTTTAAAAGTTCTCATATATAATTAACTTGATATTAAAATAAATCCAAATTAAGGTGATGCATTCTATCGGGTACTGTGATAGAATAGATATTTATGTTTTTATGATTTAATTATTATTTATTATTAGTATTAAACAAAAATTAAAATAATAAAATTTTGTAAACTTACAAAAGATTCCAAAAAAAATTGGAAATAGTTTCAATTGATATGAAATGTTTGTGTCCTGTTCAAAATACTTGATCATATTTTCATGAATACGTAGTTCAGTTTCATTATTTTGTAAATTGATTTTATTAAAATTATCTTTTGAGACCAAACAAAAATGACATGAATAATTTGAATTATATGCTTTATACGTGAGACAAAATATCAAAGCTTTAGGCCAATCAAAAATTACAACTGAAATTCAGGGAAAGAACTAAAATGTTTTATCAGATATTGTCAAATCAATACCATTATCAGATTTTAGGAGGAGATATAAAAGTACTTTTAGGGAATTATGGAAAGCTTCTCATACTGCTCTCTTAAATTTGTTAGATTTTTTATCAGAATTATCACTTGCTAATAAAATTGGTAAATATCTTAATAATTATTTTGTATCAGGTTTATTACGCTGCCAATTTTTAATGTTGCTAATAGTTACATATATAAGATGTAGTTGACTTTTCCCCAATGTATCAATGTTAGTTGCATCAGAATATAATATTAAGAATAAAAGTTTGCGCTAATTGGGATAAACATTTTTCAGTATTCTTCCACCACATGCCAGTATTTTGTTTGCTATATATTCTTTTTCTGTCAATCTTTAATTTATTTAAACATGATTATTGATATTAATGTGATTAAACATATATGTTAAATTACATAAATTTAAATAATTACCTCAAGATTTTTAAAATTTAACGCAAAATTTTGCATTATATCAGGAATTGTCAAAATATTATTTATGCAATTTATAAGATTTAGATGATAAAGATAATATTCATATTGTTATAGGTTATTATGCAAGTTTTTAGTAATCTAAATTTGGTTGATTTATATTATCCATAAATTGTCATATTTGTTTAGTTGATTTAGGTAGTAGAGATGTAACAAGCTTTGCATATTTATTAAAAAAATGGATTGTTTCATTTCCTATTTTATTACTTAATTTATTTTTAATTACTAATGTCATAAAATCTTCGTATACTTCATTAGGATAATTTACATTTACATTAGACTTAGGTTCTAAAATATCTTGATTTATTATTGAATCTTCAGATATAATATTTTCAAAATTACTGCTATGGTTACTTAAAAGGCATAATTCTTCAACAGGCAGAGGAAGAACTTCATATTAACTTTCGTCATCCATCTAAAATAAATGATATATATATTTATATTTAAAGAATTTATATCACAATACTTTATTAAAAATTCGTATTTCAATAGAATTAAAAATCTCTTCACTTTCTAGTGAAATATCATTAATATTCATAATAGAATCATCACTTTCATCACTGCTAGATTGATTGCAAACATTAATATGCTGGCTATACCCTGAACGACTACTAAATGTATGCTTATAAAATGGACACTTATAATTAACCATTTGTGATTTTATGTAAGTATGATGATTTAAAGTATTGCGAAATTTATTAATTTTTTTTTGATCTATTCAAGGAGATATTAAAGTCTATATATAATGTTTTTTATCCATTAAAGGATGGTGAAATTTAATATTAAAATTAATATTTCCACTAAATAGCTTATATTTGCATATTCTAGTTTTTATACTATACCTACTATAGAGTACTGACTAAACTACCCCAGGTTTTTTACAAATTTACCCTATATTTGCAAAATATCTGGGTAGTTTAATCAGGAAGATATTTTGTATAGAAGGGGGTACCTTGTATGAATCAAATGCGCTATATTAATCATAGTATAAAATAAAATTTGTAACGTGTTCTACTTTATGTTGCTTGGTATTTATAGTTAGACCTCCTAATATTAGTTGTTAAATGAAATAAAAGAACTTCTCATTCTAAAATAACTTTTAAAAAAACGATAATAGTGTGTTCATGAAAAGCTAATAGTTTTACATTTTTTGAACTGGTCTGGTAGTATTCGTGCAATTGCAAGTCATTTTGGCTTACAACCAAGTCAGGTTCGTGATTGGAGACGTAAAAAAGATTAACTTAAAGCTTCAGCACCTTATTTATTAAAGTTGCATAGTGGTAGATAGCCATTCTTTTTAGATTTAGAGCAAGAGTTAGCAAAGTGGATTTTAGATTGTCACCATAAACCAAGTTTTACTTTTACCATTTAGACGTCTGTCTAAACTCTTGATTTCGTCTAGCAACCTTAATTATATAGTTAGAGCTTTACAATATTTACTAAATTCACATTTAAGAATCATATTTTTCCTATTAATTTGTAAAACTATTTCATTATAAATATATAATTAAATATAATTTAATATAAATTTTATATTAAATAATCATTCAAATTTTCTTATTTAGTAGTAATTAATTTAATCCTTTGCCAAATTAATACCAATAAGTTTTTATTTAGTTATCTAAATCCTAAATTATGCTTATAAAGCTTATGTTGTAAGTAAATAATAAATTGAATACTTTGTATTAAATTGCAAAGTAATATTAATTAATGATCAAATATCAAATTTATTATTTTTCCATTTATACTGATAAAATTTTCTATTTCTAATATCAATATAAATATATTCATTAAGGTAATAATGAGTTTCTTAAAAATAATATATAAAAAAATCAAAATTTTCAGCTCTAAAAAAAAATATTATACAGACAAATCTGTTTATAATCATCCTATCTATAATAATATCATATAAAAACCTTTTTATAATCACATATATATTAAACTAGTTATAATGAAATCAATCTATATGGGACTTTTGCAATAAAAGAAACTGCTGGGAAAAATCAATTTTACTTTTATATGTCAAATATGATCTTTAGGCTGAAATATGTTTAAATTTAGCATTAACTCGTTTTTTATTTTTCCGGCAGTTTCTCCCCTTTCTATTGCAAAGGCCCCCATATTATCACAATATTTAAAAGATAAGCGTAATTTTTATAGGGAATTTTAAATTAAAAAAAATGACATTTAAAATAAAAACTAATTTTTCCTCTTATCAAGTGACATAATTTCTCAAGTTTGGATATGATCATCATAGATTATTTTACATAATTGTTTACATTTTTAGTTCAACGTAATAAAAATATTATAAAATTACATATATAAATTTCTTATCAATAGATATTTATTTCTCTTTTTATTTCGAATTATTTTTTTTTTAAAAAAAACTGTTTATGGATCACGAACTTCAAAAAGATCAAAAGGTTGACCAAGAAATAGCTTTAGTTAAAACTCTACCTGAACTTGCAGACATTTCCGAAACTATTAAAAGGGATAAGGAGGTAAAACGTGAGGTTGGCGTTGTAATGAATGAAGATATAGCTGATAATAAAAATATTGCTAAAGAAATTAAAGAAATGGAAAATCAAGAAAGATCAGTTGATAAAAAGCTGTCATTTGAAGGTTCAGTTGGGAAACGAGTTGATAATGATGAAACTGGACGTGATATTAGAAACGATGAAAATGAAAAGAAAAACTTTTCAAAAGAGGCAATTGAAACCATTAGGGAAACAATGATCGAAGAAGCCGATTCTAATCAAGATGAAGATGATCAAGAAGGTGAGAAATATTATTTGGATGATGAATGCGAAAGTCCACCTAAGAGAATCAAAATTGAAATAAATTGGAATGATATTCACGGTGGTAATCTACTGGACTAACCGTTCTTGATTTCAATCATATAAGCAGGGGGGGTTTTTTTTATTAATTAAAGAATCATACATTTACAATTACACATACAGAAGGAAAAGGTTTACTTTCAAGTGATCGAGTACAAACTTTACTTCAACCTACTTCTTCTTCATCAATCGTTACCGATGTTGTGGAATCTATGACCATGCCTGGATTTAATAATAATGTTGTAAATGCTTTACATATTAGTTTCTGGTTATTATTTATAGTCCTTATTATCCTGGCCGTTGTAACGGATCATCATTATATCGTATTGATCAACATAGGCACCTCGTTTATGTTATACATTGGCATGATATGGTGAGTGAATAAATCTTTTGTTATATAATAAGAATCCTTTTGGTGAAATTTATTTTCATTTTGTAGGTTTATTGTATATATTCGTGCATCACAAATAGAAGAGGCAGCTTTGGCCGCAAAGAAGGAAGATTGAAAATATTTATGATGAATAGAATATCTCTGTGTAATTCCAAATTAGTTTATTCAACATCTTTGGTAATTACTTTTAACTAAATCTTCTAGCAGAAATAGCTGATTATGTATTGCAGAACAATTGATATATTTAATTGACTATTTTTTGTGCAGTTTACTATCAGTGCATCAATTCACATTAGTATGTTCTGCACAAGGAAAAGAAACCACACTTTCACAAGGTTTCAGTTTTGTATTGATTAAAATTTATCAATTAAGAAGAAATTCTGTCTTTGACGCTTTACTCGATTTAGTAAATTTTTTTATTGGTTTAAGTCGTTTTTGTAAAGGAAAAAAAAGTTACACGAATAATAAACAACGAAAGTTTAGCGAGAACAGGTTTTTTAGATAGAATCCTTTGTACATTAATAATATTTATACCAAAAACTAGTTAGTTGGAATATTTTTCATGTGAAGACCTACAATCTAAATCACTATATAAGCCCCACCACATAAAAATAAAAATAAGTTTACATAATCGACATGATCTCGAATCGAATATTTAGTAATTGACGCGTCGAACGCGTTGATTATTAATAATTGTTTAACATAAAATTTTTGAACGAGCATAAAATTTCTTATTTTCTTTGGTATTGCTGCACGCTTTGATCAAATAAATAAAAGGATCAAATGATTTCTTTATTTTCTTTATCAGATTGTATGAGCCTCATGATTATCCGTTGTTAAATAATTTAGGTGTCACCTCTTTTTTTTTTCGAGCTAGTTCATTCAACATTTATGGATTAGTTATAACATTATTGGCCTATATTTAGTTAATATTTAATTATATATATTTACAAAATAATTTAAATACATTAGTTTAGAGAACTATTTATATACCCCACTTCAGTTGTTGAGTGTATATTTTTTATATATTTATAACGTTGAAGTTTCTAATCGGAATAAGAAACAATGGCAATTTTGACGGACGAACTTATTTTGAATAAATCAAGTGCAAAATCTGTTGTTGAAGTGCGAAACTTAAATCTTTGGGTAACACTTTTATTTTTATTTTTATGTCTAAAATATTATTTGTGATTAAAACAAATACCTACTTTATTTTTAGGGTTGTGAACTAGATGACGTTAGTGTATTAAAAAATTGTAGTAGATTAGAGATACTTAGTTTGAGGTAGAAATCATAATACAATGTTGGATTTGTCTTTTATTATTAAAACACTGAAGTTATATTTTTCTTTGTTATAGTGTAAACAACCTCACTTCTCTGGAACAACTTTCGGAATGTGAGTCAGCTTTATAATTTCTAATGGTATCTGGTTAATTGTAAATTTTCAACATTTGCCGTTAATTCATATTTCGTTGGATTTACCTTTTAATGATTTAAAATGAAGGCAAAACTCTAAAAGGTATATACACATAACATTGTGAATAGATTCTTTTATTTCTTTTTCATATTGAAATATATTTTTTTTTTAAAAAAAAATTATAGAACTTTACTTACGGAAAAATTATATCAATGACTCTGAACAAGTAAAGCACCTTACTTCATTAAGAAATTTAGAGGTACTTTGGTTATGTGATAATCCATGCGCGGAGGATGAAAAGAAATATCGAAATATAGTTCTGAGGTATTTACCTTGGTTAAAAAAATTAGACCATCACGGTAGGCTGTATATATATATATATATTAATTTCTTTTGGTTTCAATTTCAATTAGAACTAATATAATTTTGTCATCATACAGAGGTTACTGATGAAGAAGTCCTTGCTTCCATGTGTAGTGTGAGTTTTTGTATAAATTTTTAATAAGGTCTTTTGCTACGATTTATTATATCGTTATGTTGTGTGTGTTTGTTTTTTTATAATAACTTTGAATATATTTTAATTTTATAGTTACCAGCTTCAATGCCTCCTAAAGTTCGCAAAAAGTTGACTCCCAGTAAAACGTCTTCACATGAAGGATCAGATGGAACTGATTTCTTATCAAAATCTCCAGAAATTAAGACACCCAAACCTATTAGAGCAAATTCGAATGGCCTTTTATCCTCCCATGGTATTGAACAAAGTAGCCCACGAGTAAGATCACCTGTTATAAATTCAAATCGACCACCATCGCGAACACCTACACCCTCACAAGAAAGTGGTTTCAAGTTGGTAAAATCAAGGTCAAATAATGGAACCTCAAAGACAAACGGAAATGGTAGTGTTCAACCAAAGTTATCCGGCAAGTCATTATCTGCTCCTTTAAGCAGATCTTTATCTCGAACTCCACCAAATAATATTATCGAGGATGTCACATCACGACAGGTAATAATAGTTTCAATCGTCACAAAGCCATTTTTATTAAAAAAAAAAAAAAAATTAATGCTTTTCCATCATTCTTTTTTAAAATCAGTCGAATGTGCTCACCGCTGTTCTTGCGTTGATTGAAGAACTTGAAGAAAAAGATTTGCATGCTGTGCAAAGAAAATTACAATTAACTATGTTAAATCGGTTCGGAAAACTAGGAAAAAAATAATTCATCGCATAAATTTTATAATACATTTATATAGATCCACATTTTTTTAATAATTTAATTAATAATTAGTAATAATTAATATAATAATTATTCACAGTGTTTTATCAACTAATTAAATACATACATCAATAATATTATTACGATTACTTATACTGAAAACCATTATCAAAAATTATAATTAGTATAGAATATAATTTAGAATAAAAAAAAATTTTAATTTCTTATAAAAATATTTTTCTACATTTATTATCAATCTATTTAATAAATCATTTCAAATATATATATATACTGTATATAGAGATATATATAAATATAGATATATGTTCTATGAATCCAAAACTGATCCAATTTGAAAATCATATAGAAAAACATAAGTTTGCGATCTATTTTGGAATAAAAAAAGAAATAAAAAGAAAAAAATAGGATATACCATTATAAACAAAAAAATCGTTTGAGTAAATATTAAACAGAAAAAAAACGACTCTTCAAAAAAATACAAATATACAAAAAAAAAAAAGGCTACTATACACTATACATCAAAAACAAGAAAAGATTCAAAAAAATGATCTCCTTCCTTAATATTTTAAAAAATTCATTCTAACCCTACTAATCACCCACCCAAGAATGTTCTAATGTTCTTTTTTTTTAAATAAAAATATTATGCCCCAAATTCTCACTCTATCCGAACTTAAAAGATTTTAAAAAAAAGTTGACAGAAACATCATAATTTATCTAAAAATTTGTAGCTGTAGGAGATATCTTGGATTGAATCAGGAAAACATTTGGAACTCCAATTTCAGGCTAAAAAAACAATTTATTTTTTAAAAAATAACGAAAAAAAAATTCTTAAAAATAAAAATTTACTCACTTGATCATCTAAACTTTGAGCCAATGCATTCAAAAAAACAGCATCGCTTTGATTTTCATCATCATTTTCATCATAATCATATTCTTCCGTGTCTGTAACTTGAAACGAATCCGACATTTCTACATCATCATCTTGAAATTCTTCGATTCGAGATACCTCATCTGATTGCTGGTGATTTTGTAATTGTAAAGTACTTTGTTGCAGCAATAGGTTATTTACAGATGGTTTGTCTCTACTTTTCTTTTGCTTACCAATCCTACACTGATAGAATCCACATTTCTCGGACCAGCCACTTCTACAAATCCAACAAAATCTATAACCACAATGCAAACAATCAACTTTATTACATCCATCATCACGATTAATCAATATTGAACAATTTGGGCAAGATTTTGAATTTGCAAGCTTCCATTTAGTATTTTCGAGTGCGTCTCTCATGTCATTACCATCCATACGCGGCAAAAGTTTGTTCGTAATAAATAAATGGGGATTTGCAACCTTATGACGCATGTATTGAATACATGTCATTCCGGGATGATGTGTTGAATCCCCACATTGAAGACAAATATCACTCTTACATTTAGTGCTATATTAAAATTCAAAATCGAATTATTTAATCTAATTATAAACTTCTTTTAAAAAAAAAAAAAATTTTATCCACTTTACCAATGAGATTGTGGGAAATTAGAAACGTGCATAAATTGCAATTCTTTCCATGCTTCCGGGCGATACTCCATTGCAACGATTTTCGAAGAGATTTCTGCAGCAGCTACTACCATATCAGTATGCGTTTTTAACTTACGACGCGAAAGTTTTGAAGCTCGTTTATTAGTTACATCCAAACTATATTAAATAAATAAAAAAAATTATTATTAAACTCATTAAGATGTTCCTGTTTGATATGTAATGCCTACCTTAGGCCGATAGATTTTCCTATTTTCTTTGTGATGTATTCATACATTTCTGCGACTCCGAAATCGGTATTTTCTCCGGAAATGTAAATTAAATAATCAGTTTCGAATTTAACGATGAAATTATTTATATCATTCTTATTGATTGAATTTTTTCCTTTGGAATTCTTGATGGTTCCATAATTTTCCAAAAATTTGCGAAGAAGATTGGAAATATCTTTAAAATATCTTTTAATAGATATATATATATTTTAAAAAAAAATTATTTTCCAATTATTATACATTAATATTTATCATGAATTCTATTCAGCGTGAACTTACTTTTTCTTTTCCTCGGAACAAATTTGAAATACTTGAGCAGCAAAAACTTCATCGCCACATTCGGAACAACAACGAGAGAATGACCGATATGGTTTATTGTATGTATTATACAGGTCGACCGTATTTTGATCTACGTACTATAAAATTTATTAAAATATTTAATAAACAAAAATTTTTTTTTTTTTTTTTTTTTTTTTGTTGTTACCTTGCTCCACTCAGATTGGGAAACAACTTCCTGACATACAGGACATTTTATTTTAGTGATATTGAGACCCCAAGAACTATGAACAACTTCTTTCACATATCTAGATATATTTAAGAAGTTGTTAGAATTATAATAATCCATGAAATTTTTTTTTTTAATAATTACCTTTGAAAACATTCTCTACAGAATTGGTCACGACAAATGTCTAAGCAAAAATCCAATTGAGCATCAAAGCATATTGAGCATCTTTGCAACCAATACTCTATATCTTGAGCAGAAGTTATATCTTCTCCATTATCTCCTCTCTGAGAAGAGGAAGAGGAACCGGAACTGCTTGTGGACGACAGGTTGAAAAGTGTTGAACGAGATTTGTTGGAGGTTAGGCTATTACTTATAGCAGCTGTTTTAGAAGCAAAGAATTGTAAAGAGCGAACAAATATTGCAGGTACAATCTGAAATATAGAGGATAAGAACATATCATAATTAGTTAATTCTTGATAAAAAAATTATTTAATACCGCAGTACATGCGACCTCATTTTATTACTCATCGATCTAAATCATATGCTTCAATGCGCGTCATTATATTTAGAACTTACCAAAGTTGGGGAGAAAATATATAAGAGAGGAAGGGTGTAGGCAAGTAATAAATTCGTTATGGAATATTGTTTGAGATTTGTATATATTGGAGAAAAATAATATATATAGTAGTTGGATGACAAGTTTTGATTTCCCAATACTAATAATCGAAATGGGAGAGAATTATATAAAGTGTGATAAAAAGAGGATGCCAAGAGGTTCCAATGGTTATTGTTAACCGATTCAAAAGAAGGTTGCGAATTGGAATCGAATAAGTTTAAAGGCTTCATTTGATTTTTTTTTAATTTTATTTTATACGTGACTAAATTGAGTAACTAATATTTTTAATCGTAATATTAGAAAAGCGCAGCGGAATATGAATGAAGCGCAGTGAGATAAATTAATAGGTTACTGATATTATTTAGAAAAATCAGCCAAAATCTTCATTTCATTAAATAAAACGGAGACAATAATCCTTGTGTATAAAAAACGGAATCAAGGCTCCGTTTTAAGGAGTCTTGAGATAACAAAAAAAAAAAACTATAAATTAAACAATTTAAAAAATTTTTTTTTGTAAATAAAGAGAATTTAGATAAGTTATCTTTTTTAAGTGAAAAAGTTCTAGAGAAAAGAAAAAAACTTTTCTCACACTTTAAAAACACCCAATTTGTAGTATGACATTCATGTTGAATGACTATCTACAAATACGTAACGATTACCAAATTTAGAGATCATCCCATTTTAGAGATTTATGATGATTAAATTTCCAAGTTTAGGAAAAATGCATTGCAAATTTTCAGATGCCAAAAAAAACCCCTCCTTTTTTATAGTAGATTTGGTTTAATGAAGAGAAAACAACCTTACTTTTTTTGAATTTAAGCCAATTTGAAAAATCGAAAATTGATCAGTTGATTATTCATGGACCGGAAAATTCAGTGTGAGAACAGTCGATTGATGCATTACATTGTTTTCAGATGTATTTTACCAACCAATAAAACGAAATATAGATATCACATTTTTTATCAATCTGGTAAAATCGTAAATTTCCGAAAATCCCTTTTAGCTTAGGCTACCAAAAATTTTCCGAATTGATTTTTATTATAATTCATTTTTATTCAATAAATAATTTTTTTATCACCAAGATTTAATTCTCATGGTATTCTCTTCGCCCATAACGTTCAAATGCATTTTAAATACTTTATCCAACATTTGTGGTTCATGAGCAACAGCTGTTAACATACATTTCTTTTCAGCCATATCAAAATAATCCTGAAGAATATGTTTATAATCCGGATGCGCACAATTATTAATTATTGATCTTGCTCTTTCAACCGGTGCGAGCCCACGAACATCCGCTAATCCGTGTTCTGTTACTAACACATCAAGATCATGTTCACTAATGATATACAAATAAAAAATAATTAATTTGATTTTAAAAAAAAAAAATTTATCGTTGATTCTTACGTTTGATCGATGTGAGAGCACATTGGGACTACACATGAAATGCCGATAGGATCCTTTTTGGTGGGTCTGGTAGAAGGTGTATGCATAATACTGAGTTTAGCGTTTCTCAGGAAATCATTTGAACCGCCAATACCATTCAACATTCTTGTTCCGCATACGTGTGTAGAATTCGCATGACCATAAATATCGAACTGGTAAATACGTTGGAAAAATAATTATAAGAACGCGTAAAATTATCAAATTAAATAATAAATTTTCATCATTACCTCAACGGGTGTATTCATTGCGATAGTACCCAATCTTCGAATGATCTCGGGTGAATTAGAGACACTTTGACTTCTTAATACAAGACGATCTTTCAGATGATCCCACATCTCATAAAATCTCTTAAATCCATCCGGTGAAAATGAAACGCTCGTAGCTGAAGCAAAGCTTAATTTATGATGTTCCCAAAAATCTAAAAATGTATCTTGAATCACTTCGGTCCATACTTCAACATCCGTAAAAGGACCATCCGCAAGACCTCCGATAATCGCATTAGCAATATTTCCTACTCCTGATTGTAAAGGGAGAAGATGAATCGGTAATCTTCCCATTGTTACCTCATGTTCAAAGAATTCAAGAATATTGTTCGCTATCTTATGTGATATGTCATCCTGCGGTTCACTTTCCAATGTCCTATCAAGTTTGGTAGATTCTATAATCGCAACAATTTTATCGCTATCAATCGGAATATAAGGCTATATATCAAAAAAAAAAAAAAAAACTTTTAAATATTAATTAGTATATTGTGAGTGTATATATATATATTATATCATACCGTTCCAACACGATCATCAACTCTTTGAATCAAATTTGGAAATTTATATGGGGCGTATCTGCTCAAAGTAATATCGTGTAACCCTTCAAAATTAGGAAGTACTGTATTAACTTCTATGATTACTTGAGCCGCTGACTGAACGATCTCTGGTGTTGCACCAACGGATGCTCCAGGAATAATATGTCCTTCTTCAGTGATTGCTGTGGCTTCAACAATTACAACGTCAAGTTTTTCTATTACATTCCCCTTCTTCTCTAATGTATAATATCCGGAAATCAAATCCTAAAAGATATGAAAAAGAGCAATGTTAATTAGTCAACATTCAAGAAGATTGAATTCACGTGACATTTACCAATGGAAATTCCGAAAGGTGCTTATCAGCAAATAAAATACGATTTGTATTGATTCCTTTTTGTACATGTTTACCAACTTGATATGGATATCTACGAGCTATCATATCATTCTAAATAAATATGAGTATTTTGGGTCAAATAGAACAGAATTTTATACCAATTGAATTTTACCTTTGCCCATCTAAGATAACGCATGGCGCAGCAGACATGATTGACACGTTATTAGTTTAATAATCATCCCGAAATTAAACTTTAAAAGGCAACTTGGTAAACTATTTATTTACCTATCTTCGGTTTCGGAAGCTGTACTAGCGCCAACATAAAGATCAAAACGAAGTTTTCCTTGTAAATTATTTTTTTCTACATATTCTGCTAATGCAATAGGCGTAATTTTTGGATATCCTACTCCCGTAAATCCAGACTTTAATAAATAAATAAAAATATTCAGAAATTTTATTATCCTGTTCTGAAATGTAACTAAAATAACTTACCCATCCCATTCGCATTCCGTTCTTAAAGAATCCACTATCGATAAGATCATCAACCGTAGTAAGTTTATTGAATAAACTTGGCCTACGAATACGAGCCATAAGGCCATCCGTCATCAATTTTGATATGACCGTCATTGTTTATGAATGAACTTGATTGTTGAAGAATAAAACATTTTTTAGCTTTTATATTTCATTTTTCAAAATATTGCATCACATTCCATCAAAGGAAAATTGGCTTTGATATGCTTCATGATAATTCAATTGCCAATCAAAACTTAAGTTGATTATGCAATTTACATAATATCTTTTTCTATAGATTGTTATGTAAAAATTATTTCCTTTTCCAAAGAAAATTCTTATTTAGGAGATTCGTGTAATTCCATCGTAACATGCTATTATATTTAAATTAGGAGATTGTTAATTTTCTTTCTTATTTTATATTTTGATAGTCAGAGACAAAATGGATTTTTGGTTCTTGGGACTAGCAATTTTTTTTCTAGAATAAGATAAATATCTTATTAAGATATTATAATAAAATTTTTGGTCTGCAAAAAATTATATCGAGAAAATTAATAATCTTTATTTAATATTAATATTTAAATAAAAGAGGTATTATTTTTTACTTTGTGTATTATATAAATGTTTCATTTCATATACTTTTGAAATAGAAAAACCGTATCAAAATTTATAACAAATGAACGGAAATGTTGCGATTTAAAAGACATGACTAATTGTGTATATTCAGTTGGTACTTTCAGATTCAGATTTTTACGATGTATGACATTTAATTTATTTCGTGCATTGGATATTTTATGGATCATCACAAGAAAGTAAAATTTGTTGAAATAGAATTAATGTTGAAAGAAAATCAAAAGATAAAAATAATTGACCGCTATGAACTAATTCATGATAAAATTGCTATCCTTTCTTTGAGAAACTATAATTATAAGGTAGCCTGTAAGATACTTAACAATTGGAAAATATCATCCCTTTAATGGTTTTTGCTTCCAAATTTAAATTTATTAATAAATTCCGCATTATAATCACGTGAATTCACTAAAAACTCCATTTGGAATTGAGATATTAGATATCACTAATTCTTTTTTTCTAAGGAATTTTAAAAGATTTTTCTTTATTATAAAAATTTTGTATTAAATCTTAGTATTTTAATGTAAATTTACTTGCTTCATTTACGTTTGCTTCATTCTTTTTTACTACCAAAATAATATTAATACAATTTACTATAATCTATTATACTATTTTCTTCATTAAAAAAATTTCAAACATTTAGTAGCAGGTTTACCTTTACCTTGATATTATATATATAACTATTAATATTATTTGAAATCTAATCTTCAATAACTATTATTTAAATTTTTCTTATTTTTTAGCTATATAAGATAAAATAAGCTTATTTAAATTCTTGAATAATTTAAGCTTTTTAAAATTATCTATTTAGTTTATTATATTCACATTTTTTGTATATCATACAATTTGTTGAAAACATCTATTATTAATAATCAAGTTACCTAATAATACAAACATCACTTTTTTGTATATTACTTTTTGAAATATTATTTTATAATTATTAATAAATCCAATAATAATTGCTTTATGATGATATAACAAAGAATTGAATTGAACAATCTATAAAGGAATATATGAAATCTTTATATCTCAAACTTGACTAAAGATGGTTCCTATACAGTCACACCTCAATATAACAAAATTAGCGTCTGGGTTGATCAGCCTTTCGTTATAAGAAAATTCA